AACATACATCTGCTTAAGAACCACCTCCAGAAGTTCTGCTGCCGTAGGTCTGGGGGAACAGTCCATTTCAGCTTTATTTTGAAAATGTCCTCTATGTGCGTCTCATGGGCAGCCAAGATGGAGAAACATGGGAAATATTTGGTGACTGGAATAGTTGGTGGATGTGCTGGTGATTCATAAGCGGCTCCCAGGGTGGCTCCCAGGATCTGTTAAGGTGAGATAGAAGGGAGAAAAGCTTCCAACCCAGAAAGGCTGGCAGTCAGCAGGCAAATGAGGCCAATTGCCAACTCCTCTATAGACTGTCCGGGATGAGCTGAGCCCTGGGTTCCAGGAGCAAACGCACAACTGGCTCTGTCCTGGTTGTGTGTGGAGAGATCATCTTCTTGACCCAAGACTTGACTGAAGCTTCTGAATTAAATGTAGGGCTGGCACAACCAGCTTTACAAAGTGAGGAAGTCCAGCAGCCCTCATGGTGGTGGAGGGAGAAACCCTGAAACCATCAGCAACCTTGGGGTGCATCCTCAAGAGCAGTTCCCAAACCTGGCTGGGTCTCAACTTGCATCTGGAGAGCGTATTAAAAATACAGATTCCTGAGTCACCCCAACCCCAAGAAGTTCAGGTTCAATAGGTTTATGGAGGAGCCCTGCAACTGCTGTGTAACTGAATCTTCACAGCGATCCTGTGAGTTGGGTGGAATTATATGCGTTCACAGATGGTAAATAACTTGCTCAAGGTCACCCAGCTAGTAGGTCTGGCTCCAGAGCCCATGCTCACTCCCTTATACTTTGCTACTTCCATGTTTAGGAGCTGGTTATTTTCCACACTTTTACAGAGCTTCTTGCCCTGACACCAGGACCCAATCTCTTCAGGGCCAGTAACCAAGAATGATGATCACTCAGTCTCTCCTGTAGTCTCCACAGACTGTGTGGACGAGAAGAAGTAGGCTGGTCAATTTATTGTATCCATGGGCAAAGCAGATTCTCACATCCTGACCTTCAAAGCAATAAAAACTTACGGACTCTGGGCAGTTTTGTTATGAGAAGTCACCAAATCATTGACCGTTCTGACAGAAATAATTTGGGTTTTTGTAATATCTTTCATCTCTTATTAATGTAAAAGAGGACTCCAGGTATTGTCAGACATGTTGGAGACAGGAAAGTGTATCGGGATATGGGTTCGGTTGTGAGTGAAAGAGACCCAAGATGACGGTGCGAAAACGAGATGGAGCACACTAGAAGGTAAATGACAGTGAGACTTTGCCTCACAACGTCGTTAGAAACCCAGGCTCCTCTTGCTTCTTAAACTCTGCCGTCGTTAGGGTGCTTCCCTGTTCACATGGTCCACAAGGACTTCACACCATGACCTCTTTCCTCAGCAGAATGGAGGGGGGAAGAGGAAAAGGGACATTTCCTTGAAGGACACAACCCAGAAGTTACACACGTAACAAAGCTTATTAAGAAAATGTTGTGCATCCTACTTTGGTGAGTGGCATCTGGGGTCTTAAAATCTTGCAAGTGGCCATCTAAGAGGCATCAATTGGTCCCAACCACCCGGAGAAAAGGAGAA